TTTGTAACACCCTCCGTCCCGCGAACCCGGTTCGCCGCGGCCCCACGAGCCAGAGAGGTTACGCAGACGGTTTTAGGACCATCTACAGAAAAAATCCTTGAATTACTTTTGTAGTACAGAAACCCTTGATATATTCAAATAAGTAAAACTGTTGGAAAATTAATTCACTTGAAAGAGATGTTTCGTTGTGGAAGCAATAAAAGAAAAATAACGTTAAGTCCCAAAGTATTAAGTGCAACAGAAGTGGATTTAAGCCCAAAACAGTTTGTAACATTAAATGAGAAATATATCGGGTCCAAGCTGTCGCCTATCCGCCGCTCCAATCTCCCAATCGTCCAGGTCAGACTCCATGATCATCACGCCTACCTACGTATAGCAAAAACAACGTTGTACGCTCAACATAAGCAGAGTGGTAATCTAATAGTAGAACACATTGTACATTTCACATTGATATATACATAATTGTACGTGTACTAAAGTACGAGATACCGCATACAATTTAAAAATTTAAGAGTTGCATATTTATAAACGTTGCAATGCCAAATGATTCATGAGTTAAACTGCGCAGGGACCTTCTGCCCTTCAGTGATCATCCCACGCGGTGATGAGCCGAGGAAACCTTAGTCTCCTAGAGGAGACTAGAAATTGTGGGTGGTAATTGAATGCCTAGTAACCATGTACGTACACAAGCCCTCCCAATGAAACCCGTTGGATCCCGAAGGCTCCTGGACGATCCCACGGAAGAGGCGCACTAGGCCTGACCTCTTGACGCGGTTATGCAATGATATGCCATGGTCCCAAAACATACATCTAGAATGTACATGATGATATGAATGACTTGCTTGAAAGAAGTCTAAGTTACACCCATACATGTATGTTTGATTCCGTATTAGATTTCTTTCGAAAACATTTGTTCATTAGCATGATGGTCTTGGGATTCAGAATTGGCTGATAATCGATTTTGCACTTATGATAATCGATTACCACACATGGCAGTTCTTGTCCTAAGGTTCTGCAGCCCCTGATAGTCGATTGTCACTTTAAGACAATCAATTGTCACGGTGGTCCTGTTCAGAACCCAAAGTTCAGAGAGGACTGATAATCGATTATCTCCCTGTGGTAATCGATTATCAAAGGGAACCAATTCTGAACTCAAAATTCAGCAGGGTCTAATAGTCGATTATCACTCTTGGGATAATGGACTATCACACTTTGCTGCTTAAACGAGAAGTCCAGTGAGGCCAAATAATCGATTGACGTGTCCTGGTAATCGATTATTAGTGCACGCGGAACCTTATTTTGTCTGTTAAATAGCAACCAATACGTTGGAAGTTTGATTTTATGTTTTCACGTAAAGTAGCCGATGAATTTAAGGGATTTCAAGGTGATTATATTAATAAGTTCGTAACCGAAAATCTAAATAACGGAAATGCCATGATAATGCGAACTCACGTAGGTTTAGCCGGGTAATCCTATGAATATAACGATATGAAATTACTACAGATTCTAAAGTTAGAGGGCAACATAATCACCTCTTAAACGAAGGGGTTGACAGACGGAACAGAATGAATGAACAACGATGAACGAATGACGAACAAATGAACAAACCAACAAACAGACTGTGGGTCTCACGCGCGAGCTTGCTTCTCTTCTTCCTTCTTTTTCTCCTTCTCGCCGGAAACCTCATTCCTTAGGTGCTGTTTGGCCGACACAAGAGAGGGGAGAGGGAGAGATAAATGTGTTATGGCTTGGGGGGTTACAACATGGTGAAGGGAAATGAAGAGAGAGGTGTTTATATTAAAAATGAGTATTGGAGAATTTAATATGGGAAAATGAATGGCATGGAGGGGGGGGTGGCGTGTGAATTAATTTGGGGAGTGACCTCCCTAAGTTCCACTATGATCTATAAATTCTGTCCTGAATGGTACAAGCTTTTCCCCCCAAACTGGTCTGAATCGAGATCCATTTGGAATTAGACAGTCAAGACGAATATTATGGTGTGATCAAATAATTTTTCTGAAGACTTTTTTCCCCAACCCCGGTCCGAATTAGCAATTAATTAATTAAATTAACTAATTCTAATAGACCTGATCTTAGGGCGTTACACATTATGTCCCTAAGCCCACAGGCGGAGAAACCCTTGTTAAATCCATACAAGCGTGTTTCTCACCTATTTATCCAAAGACCAAAATGGTAGCTCGTTTGAGTGTGGATCTTCCTTCCAACAAGTTAATCAAGAATTCACAATTTTCTCACCAGTTCCCGGTAACCTTGGAGTTGAGTTTCTGGAAATCAAGCTCCAGAGCCTTTGTCTGATCCGCAAAGCCGGTGATTTGCCTCTAAAACGACTCCGCCTGGGCATCCTTGGCCTTCAACTCCAATTCCAACTCCTGGTTCCGGGAGGGTCCGACGGAGTTACACAACTTGGCAGCCTCTCTTTGGAGTTCTTCACATTCATTCTTCCAGAGCTCACGATCCTCATTTGACTTGGCATTTAGCTTGTGGAGGTGGGCTTCTATCCTTGATCATTCTTGAGTTGCTCTCGCAACCCCTGAATTACGCCTTATTTTTCACCAAGGAAGGAGTACACTTGGGAGTCCTAGAAGGAGGCACCCAGATATTCTTCAATCAGCTTGAGAACAGCGGCATGAGCTTGATAAAGCTAGGAGTTAGGTCAAAGAGATTAACATGGAAACAAAATATGATGAAGGAATGGAGTGGTACCTGTACCATAAAGTCAAGGGTGGCGAGGACTGCAAGGTTCGAGTGGTGATTCATACCGCTGGGGGCTGGTCCCCTAGCTATTTCTCTGGCCCACTTAGCCATCCTCCTCCCTGGGCATGGGCTTCCTTGGTAGATAGAAGACTTTCACTTTTCTTGAACATGTTCAAGGTCTCCTAAGCTAATTTACCGCCGGTGACCGGATATAGGTTCGCCTTGACAGAGGAAGAGCCCAATGTTTGGCAAACAGAAGGACTTGGATCCTTAGGAGTTGAGGCAAGGATGTAAGTGCGACGGTCTGCTGCGGTTCCACTCTTAGAAGGCAGAACTTGTCCAGCAGCATCAAGGGATGGTGTAGAATCAGGTTGGGCCACTCGAGTGAGTCCCTTGGACAGGGTACCACCTTCGGTAGCTGATGTAACAACCTCTTGCATAGGTCGCTGGCTATCCCTTCCCGGGGTGGTGTCTAGGGGGGGGGGGGAAGGGCCAGGGGTAACTTCTACCTGGGTGTGGAAGGTGCAACGTAAGAGGACTCCGTAACGATCTTGCCTAGAGATTCCCTTGGTTTCTTGTGCTGAACAAGGACTGAAGGGTCGAACTGTTTATGCTTCTAAGTTTCGGACAACGTCTGAAGAGCCAGGTGGGCAGACAAGTCAACTGCCAACAGGGTGGGAACCACCTTCGGTGCTAGGGAAGTTGTGTGAGAGAGAGTGGCAGTTGGAGTGACTTCCGGGCCTGAGTCACTTAAGGGGCCAGAGGACCCAGGTTCTGCTCGGGCCTCATGAGCCAACGTTTTAGGGTTGTTCCCCACAAAGTGGAAGCCAACCATACGAAAAAGATAATCCGTTTGGATACTATCATGCTCAATCAGGGTATCACTCTTCATATCCTCATAAGCTTGGTCAGCCTAAGAGCCCTTGGAAAAGGAGGTCCAATAAGGGTTCAATCGCAGCACAATGGTGGGCAGATCTAGAGGAATGTGAGTTGGGATTTCTTTGACAAAGAATTTTTTTAGCCAATTTTCAATCTTTAATTTCACCTTCCTTAAAATGGGGCGCTTCTGGTGAGGAAATATACTGATATAAAGGAAGGAGCCGTCGATGCTGAACAAAGTCATGAAGTCCTGAACTGAAGGAATCTTTCCTTTATCGTAACAACAAAGGATGTAAGAGGCTAGGTACTAGGGGGCATTCACTATGAATTGCCTAGGAGGCAACTCCCATGTAATGCAGATGTCACAGATGAAAGAGAACATAGTGCGGATTTGTGTTACGAGTCTACGAAAAGATGCGGATTTTATTGACGTTACGACTCAAAATTTGAGTAAGGAGTGGGATCATTTTTTATCCGACATGATGATCAAAGGCAGCTCTGTTGAATATATGAACACCCTAAAGGCCAACATATGATTTGTATCTAGATTATTTCAAGAATAAAGGCTCTGAAGAATGTTTAAATTTTCTTGTGTACTTAAGACATAGCTTTAGTCCATAGATTAGTGCTCCAGTAAAATATATGAGAACTACGATGTTCTGATTGTGAGATTATTACAAATATAGAGACTAGATCTAAAATGGCCTTAGTCGAATATTCTAATAATACGGACGTCATAATATATTAAGAGTAATACGTATGAGATGAGGGCGTTATCTGAATCTCTACGTAGGCGAATATATTGGATATATTGCTGGATTGACCCGCCATGAAAATACTATATGGGTATACCTTGAAATGTGTTAATAGTATTTTCAAACGACCATTTATGTAACTATCGTTAGACTTGAAGTCATTATGATTCTTGGTAAGCATAGCTACATGCTTTGAGATATAATTAATGTCATTTGAAATATTCACTACTACAGGATAGAGAATACACAGCGGATAAATTTGATATTTTCCAGCGCAAACCAACCGTTGTGTATGTAACCGGTGCAATATAATGTTTACACAGCGGATATTTATCCGCTGTGTAATGTTTGTTAAAATCCGTTCAAGATTACACAGCGGATAAATATCCGCTGTGTAAGGATGCTTAAAAACGGTATAGTTTACACAGCAGGTGTTTATTCGCTGTGTAAGAAAACATAAAAAATTTTATAGTTTACATACCGGATATATATCCGCTGTCTACAAGAATTTTTTATTAAAAAAAATAATTCTAATACTATTCTAAACTACCACGGAGTACAAAGTCATTTGCACAAAAATTTCAATGAGCTATAAGCCATTATCCTAAATACAATTCCTAATTACAAAATTCAATTAATGTATTTATTAATAAATGAAAGAGCTACAATCTCTTCCTCATTGGTATAAAGGGAATAAAATCAATTCAAGAAAGTTATCAGCACAAACTTTTCTTCAAATCATCTCTGTCAAGGCATCCCATTAGTCTTCATATCAGCACAAATTTTGTCTAATTGATAACTCCATAATTGAATTTGTGTCGTATCCAATCGCCTACAAAAAAATACAAGTGAAAGGTAAGTATCAAGCCATTGAGTTTTGTGCTAAAGAAATTCAAGTAAGACATACTAGGAAAATATGAAGAGAAAATATGAAGGGGAATTAACATTCCTTATACCCTTTTTTTTAAATATCATGAAACAAAAAGGATATATACCAAATCCTAGTATAATCTCTAATCTGATTCAGAGATGCTGTCATTAATATAAACATAAATAAACAAACTTGGAGTAATGAGATAAACGCTTTGCAAGTTATACATCAGATAATTCTCATTTTATGAAAAACTCATCACAAAATTGGACGCAATTCTTATACAGATATTATGAAATTTTTATTTTTCAGTAACATATATCAAATTGATTAAAAAAGTAAGGATTAAACATAGTGTCTTGTCACTGAGGTGCACAAATTGGTTCAAATACTGAGTAAACAATATGATTCAGATACTGAGTAAACAATATGATTATGCCAAAAATCAAATAAGGAGTATCTTGCTTGAACAGAAAGAAGAATTCAACCAAACAAACCAAATTTCTAAAACATAAACGTACAAAATCAAGGTTGACTACCAGAGATTCAACATAGGGAACCAGAGATTAACACATGGAACCAGGGATTCAACACAACAAGGATCGAGCACAAATTGGGCATAAATTGGGAACAAATTTACAGTAAACATAAAGCAAACAGGGTGAGGCTAACCTTACATTTATGAGCCTTGAATTGAAGAAGATGCTGACGGCGAGGGGTGGAAGAAGATGCTGAAGCCGAGGGCTTGAAGGGAAATCTAATCGACGGCGAGGGGTTGAAGAAGATGCTGAAGCCGAGGGCTTGAAGGGAAAGCTAATCGACAGCGAGGGCTTGAAAGAGAGGCTCCGTACTTTCGCTGGCGAGCTCGTCTGGGGATCAATTTTTCGTTGGCGAGGGCGACGATTACCACTGGACCGGAGCATTCTTTGGCGAGGAGAGATGGCGGCAATGGCAGATAGGGTTAGCGGCGATGGCAGATTCCCAATTCGATGTAACGCTAGGAGATTCGAGAGTGGGGGATATTAACCCATTATTTTTAATAGAATTATACAGCGGACATTTTTTAACCCGATGTTAAAGAATGGCGAGTAAAATGATGCACCCGGGTACCAATTTTTTTCCAGGCGCGCACTTCCCCAAAACAAAACACATCGGATCTTCATTTATGTGATGTGTAAAGTGCTATGTTAAATACCCATTTTGTAGTAGTGATTAGTGGACGTATGTGTGTGTATATATATATATATATATAAAGAAAAGGGTGTTACCCGGCTAAGAATGGCTGAGAACGGCTGTATTGCACGGCTGAGAACGTAGCTGTAGAGATTGTTCGTCCCTGATTTCAAAAAATAGGTGGAATTGGGGGCGAGATAGTGGTGTAGACAGGGGCGGACCCAGAACATTTATACCATGGGGTCGTAATTTAGAAAATTTATATCCAACAATCACGCTTCTAACAATAAATGAACAATATTCTACAATACATAACATTAAAGTTCATATATATTATTGAAAATACTAATTCAAAGTAGTTCTACATTGCAAATGTGAAATACATCTTACAAATGATAACGTCTAGTTTTCATATTTTGAAAGTGATTTATTATTTTATCATTGTTAATAGTAGCAAAGACATCTCTTTCAATATATGTCACTAGACAATCATTTAACCATTGGTCACAAATTTTGTTTCGAACCTCATTTTTCACAAACTTCATGGCTGAAAAAGCACGCTCAACACTAGCAGTTGTTACTGGTAGAAGCAAATTTGACATTTCCGGAGGATGATTTAAAGATGACGAAGCATTTGCGTTCAAATTTGATGGATTCTCACTCAATTCTTTCTCTTTAAACCTTGGTGCCTTTTTAAAATATCTTTGCATCCTATATTGAAATTTAAATACTCCCTCCGTCCCCAATTTGATTACACCTGGATTCGAACACAGGTCTGCGGCATCCGCCCACACGAATCAAAACCACGGAGATTTCCACTCCTTTAGCGCTGCGAAGTCAATACTTCTGGCGTTTCGTAGCATATATACTAAATCGAGGTATATATTAAAAAAATTATATATATACTAAAAAAAATTTAAAATTTCCGTGGGGTCGCTTGACCCCGTATGATCCTATGTAGGTCCGCCCCTGGGTGTAGAGGTTGCGCAGTCTCAAGATCTTGCGCGGACAGTTGCTAAAATATTTGGGCGAGATTTTTTTATTCCTGTTGTTGTAAATATGAGCTTAAGGACCAAAATAAAAAGGATTAAGCTATGTACCCAATTTGTACCCCGCAGGTTTGTACCTTAATTTTGTGGCAGTGTAATGCTATAGTGATAGTTCATATAGACACAAAATCTAGTACAAATTTTCATTAACCCATCAATATTTTGTGTCAGTGTGAATAATAGAAATGCTAGTGTATACCTTTGGTGTAACTTTAGGGTACAATTTTTGGTGTAAGTGTAGCATGATCTAAATAATAACTTTCCGGTCCATGCTACTTTTTAGCATAAAAAACGGTTATGCATAAACAATTACGGAGTACTATAAAGGACTGATCTCGAAATACAAAAAAGTGAAGACAAACGTAAATAAAAATAGATTTTATTTTATAAAAACAATAGAGCGATGGAGTTAAGCAACTTGTGGCTGTAGTTTAGTGATTAGAATTCCACGTTGTGGCCGTGGAGACCTGGGCTCGAATCCCAGCAGCCACATAATTCTTTTACTTTTTATGACTTCCAATATTAACGAGTCTTTCAAGGAATGGGTACCACTCACCCGTTGTCCATTTCTAATCTTTAAATAAAAGTTTTTGGAATTTGACTTTTGGCAATTTAATGTTGGGAAATTTTGTAATTCGTTTAGGTAGTGTTTGGCAATTAGCATTTTATTTCAATTCATGCTTTCAATTTTAAAATTTAAAATCTCAAATTTCAAATAACAAGGCAAAGTACATGGATTTCAAATTAAGTTTTGTTATGAATAAAAGAACTTTGGCTCAAATTCAAATTCAAAATTTTTAGGTTTCTCAAACATTTAATCAATTTTGTCTTTGTTTTTGTCTTTGGACGTGAGTGTAAAAATAAAATGTGATGAGTAACTTAATAATAAATAAAATTTATGAGATAACCACGATAACAATTAGTATAGTAAAAGTAGTTTTTTTAATGGAATATAGTAGAATTGTGTTGGTAGAGAAAAAAGTGAGCAGAGAAATATTTTGTGAAACGAAAGAAATATGAATTTAGGTAGAATTCTTTGCATAAGAGTAAAAATTTATTAAAATACCAAAACAAAAGCCCTGATTTTTCTAAAACTAAAATATGAGTTTTGGTATAGAAGAAAATTTACATTATTTAATTAATTATTTATAAATCAGTAGTTATTTATTAATATTATATAGCTATCATGTTAGGATTTAGTATAGCCTGAACCCATTAGGCCAATTAGTGTGTTCCCTCGTCTCTATTTATTGTAAACCTTTTTATCATTGTGAATTAATGAATAAGAATATCCAAATTTTAATCTCTCTTCTCTTTTTTGGAAGCTCAGAAACGTTGAAATTTTTCCATTTTTCTTTTCTCTTTTTCTAGGAGCCCAAAGAACTCCGCTATTTTTTTCTATCGAATTCGTATCAAGTTCACACTTACATTGTTACACTGTCACACTCACCACATCGTCACACTATCACTGCCACATTACCATATGCCATTGTCGGCCATGAAAGTGCCGCCGCCGATCGCCCGCATTAATTGATCACACTACCATATTATAATATAATCACTTTTCCATCACACTGCAAACACGTACACTTACATCACACTACCTGTAACACCCCAACCCGCATAACCCGAATACACGGATTAACGAACTGGGTTGCTACTAAATTGGTATCCAAACATGTAGAATTTTAGCGGAAACTGATCTGTATTTCATTAATCGTGAACTGATATAAATACAAGTACAGAAATGGGCCTGGCCCAATATGCTACAGTAAAACATATATACAAATATCCGCTAACACTCCCCTCAAGTTGGCCCATGAATGTCATGAATGCCCAACTTGCATAGTAAGCAATTAAAAGCAGGTTTAGACAAGGGTTTAGTAAAAATGTCCGATAACTGATATCGAGTAGGAACATAGCGTGTGGACACCTCATGATGTTGAACAGATTCACGAACCGTATGACAATCAACATCAATATGTTTCATACGTTCATGAAAGACGAGATTCGCTGCAATGTACAGGGCTGATTGATTATCACAATATAGTCTCGGAGGATACAAAATCGGCACATCAAGAGCTTTCAGAATACCAAGCATCCAGCGAATTTCAACACAAGCGTTCGCCATGGCCCTATATTTGGCCTCGGCAGAAGAACGGGCAACAGTGGTTTGCTTCTTGGTCTTCCAGGACACCGGAGAAGTGCCCAGCATAATAAACTCTGAGAGGACATGAACAGAGTAACAAATATCCGGGCGGGTGATGGTCAAATAGATCAAGCGTCCGACGAGTCGACGATACCGAGTTGGGTCGTGAAGAAGAGGAGCGGTGGACCCACTCAGGTTGTGCGTCGTTGGCAGTGGAGTCCCGGCGGGTTTACAGCCTAACAACCCCGCTTCTTGTAGAATCTCCAAAGCATACTTCCGTTGACTTAGGACCATACCAGAAGGAGAACGAGCACATTCAATACCCAAAAAATATTTGACGGGTCCTAAGTCCTTAAGCTGAAAACATTGATCCAAGTATCGTTTGAAAGAAGCACACATGGAAGAATTATTGTCTGCAACCAAGATATCATCCACATACACTAAAATAGTGAGAAGATCAGGGCCACGCCTGAGAATAAATAAAGTATGATCCTTATGAGCCTGCTTAAAGCCCCAATGACGAAGAGCAGTGCTAAGCTTATGAAACCAATTCCGAGGAGACTGACGCAAACCATATAAAGATTTGCGAAGACGACAAACCTTTCCCGGAACAGAAAAACCAGGTGGTAAACGCATGTAAACTTCCTCAATTAAGTCGTCATTCAAGAAAGCATTATTAACATCCAGTTGATGTATCTCCCAGCCCCGAGCCACAGCAACAGATAAGAGAATACGTACCGTTCCCATTTTGGCAACAGGAGCAAAAGTGTCCGTATAATCCATACCAAACTCCTGGTGATTCCCCAAAACAACAAGCCGGGCTTTATCACGCTCCTTGGTGCCATCTGAATGAAACTTAGTACGGTAGACCCATTGACATCCTAAAGCCGTCCTGCCACGTGGAAGATCTGTGATGTCCCATGTATGATTATTTTCCAAGGCAGCAATCTCCTGTTGCATAGCTAAGCGCCAGTTGGCATGCTGCATAGCTTGCTTGAAAGTCTTGGGTATCTCATGGGAGGAAACAGCAGCAAGATATCCACGGTACCTGTCATGCAATTTCTCATAATGAACAAAGTTATGGATAGGATACCGAGTACCTGAAGAACGAGAAGAGGTAATGGATGGAGCAACATGAGTCAATGTCCGAGCTGTGTGACAGTAATAGTCAGATAGATGAGCAAGAGGACGACATTCACGAACAGGACGAGGGAGCGACGGCGGACTGTCCGGGGCAGTCTCACCGTCGCGCTCGGATGAGGTGGGGGACTGCCCGGAGACGCTGGACTCAGGAGGGCTGGACGTCTGTGACGGGGTGGGTGGGTTGGTCGTGACGGAAGTGGGCACATCGGGAGGAACGACAATAGGGGGCTCTGGAAAATCAGCGTGCTCATGCCGCGGGGAAAAGTCGGGTGGGACGCGTGAAGGATTAGAGATAGAAAATGGAAAAGTGGTTTCTTCAAAAGAAATGTCCCGAGTATGAAAGAAACGGTGAGACTCAAGATCATAAACACACCAACCCTTAGTCCCCGTAGGATATCCTACAAACATGCATTTGACACTACGTGGATGAAATTTATTAGGTGGACGTTGTAGGTGATGAACAAAACACAAACACCCAAATACCCGAAGATGAGACAAGTCTGGAGGTTTTGAAGAAAGGAGTTCATATGGAGATTTACCTTGCAAAAGAAGAGTCGGTGTACGGTTTATGAGATATACCGCAGTACGTACACACTTGCCCCAAAATTCAATTGGCAAAGAGGCCTGAAACATAAGAGATCGGGCGACATTAAGGATATGACGATGTTTACGCTCGACCCAACCATTTTGCTATGGGGTATTAACACAAGAAGTTTGAATCAGAACGCACATATCATTATAAAACATACGCAAGGGTTTATTGAGAAACTCAGTACCATTATCTGAGCGCACAACCTTAATTGTTTTACCAAACTGAGTTTGAATCATGGTAAAAAATTGTTTCAAGCAACTGGTAACCTCAGTTTTGTCAATAATAAGAAATACCCAAATAGCTCGAGAATAGTCATCAACAATGGTGAGAAAGTAATGAGCCCCAGTGGATATGCAAGCAGAATATGGACCCCATAAATCACAATGAATAAGATCAAACAATGCATCCGCTTTATTAAGACTAGGGGAAAATTCGGAGCGTGTCTGTTTGGAAAAGAAACAAATATCACAAGACTGAAATTTTTTAATTTCAGTATTACTCTTATTAAATGGAGGTAGAGACAAAACTTGAGGAGAAGGATGACCAAGACGTTGGTGCAAAAAGGAAACAGACTTGGCTTTGGACGCTTGGGCTTGAGAAGGAAAGACATAGACCCCGTTGCGTGCTTCACATTGACCAATCCTCGTCTTCGTAGTTCGGTCCTGTATCACACAAGAATGATCATCAAAGAAAACATGACAGTTATGTGAGTTGACAAAACAACTCACTGATATCAAATTACACTTCAAATTAGGAACATAAAGAACATTGTGTAAAATTAAAGAAGGAGACAATTGCACCCGACCACAAGAACTTGCCATCACATGAGCCCCATCGGGCAAGCTTATAGTACAAGAAGGCCTCTGCACTATGTCAGTCAAACACGAGAGCACCCCCTGTCATATGATGAGATGCACCACTGTCCACGAGCCACTCACAGGACACAAGAGACATACCGTGCAATTTTTCAGAAGTAGATGTGCAGAATCAACAGAGAAAACACAGGGCAGCAGCAAATACAAAAGAGTAGTCGGATTGCAATACTCCCCCTCAAAAGACACGGGGCCAAATTCAGCAGATCAACAACCCAGTGCCCCTCACCCGATCAGTAAGATATCAAAGACAGAGTAAAACCAAAGAAAGAAAAAAAATGGCAGCAGCACACGATATCAAATTGGCAGCGCACACAGCAAGATATCAAATTGCATACTTTAGCAGCCCATGATGTCAATTGCACGATCAAATTAGCAGCACACACAAAAAAATGGAACAATTAAAGGCATAAACCAGCAGCGCACGATCAGGTCTTCCGTTGAAGAGGAGGAGACTGTTCGGCGAACACACAAGGAACACTGCGTCGGACGATCGCACACACGCCGGAGAGCAGAAACGCGCGTAAGCCTAGGGTTTAGGGCTCTGATACCATGTAGAATTTTAGCGGAAACTGATCTGTATTTCATTAATCGTGAACTGATATAAAAACAAGTACAGAAATAGGCCTAGCCCAATATGCTACAGTAAAACATATATACAAATATCCGCTAACAAAACACTACTTGACTTTTCAAAAACAAATCAAATAAACGTTCCAAAATATAGTTTAACATTCATCGGAGTAATATTCGAAACATTATTCCTCCTGTTAGACATTATTAAGTGCTATTTAGAGAATAAAAAAAATTAAGTTCTACATTATTGGAAAAGGATTTATGTTTAGTACTCCCTCCATCCCCCATAGATCTTTCCAATAGCCCTTTTTCTTTGTCCACAATAGATCTTCTCATTTCATTTTTTAACAATTAAAATACCACAACTACCCACTCTTACTTTATTTATTACACCTCACCCACCTCATTTAATACACTTCACTCATTTTCATTAAAGGTATTATGGTAAACTTTCACCTTTTTTCAACTCTCCTTAAAAACCACCAAAAGTTAAAATGAGAACATCTTAGGGGGACGGAGGGAGTACTATTTATTGTAAGTATTTTTTTAAATAGTGATGTGATTTTGTACATTGTTGAGAGAGTATCATATTGTGGGATGGAGGGAGTAGAATAAGGAATATAATAGTCCGTACTTGATTAGAGTCTTTTTTTTTTCTTTATTAGCTAGCTAGTAATAGTTGTATAATTAGAAAAGTTGCCTTGCGGCCTTTCCTTTCCTTAAATTTCTTCCGTAATTAGCTAGACACAATTTGACAAATTGTCATCGATCGACAGCTTATTATATACTTGATGCTATAAATATATATACTCTTATATCACTATATATATACACACTTATTGTATGTGTATGTATGTATGTAGGCATAGCTAAGAGTGTACTCGATCAATTGAAATAAGATAGATAGAAATATAAATCGATACATTGTTTTTGAATAGCTAGAATCATATATATGATGGAAGGAGAAGGAGGAGGAGGAGGAGGAGGAGGCGGCGGCGTAGGAGGAGGAGGAGGGGGAGGAGGTGGAGGCGGCGGCGGCGGAGGCGGCCGAGGCGGCGGAGGAGGAGGAGGGGTAGGTGGAGTAATAAAGAGTGCGTACATGGTGGTTTTGGTAATACAGACGTTGTATGTGGGGATGTACTTGCTCACCAAGTTTGCTTTCGATGACGGCATGAACACTGCTGTTTTTGTCGTCTACCGCCAGGCCTCCGCCGCCCTCTTCTTAGCTCCCATCGCCTTCTTTCTCGAACGGTAGAATATATATATATATATATATATATATATATATATATATATATATATATATATATATATATATATATATATATATATACAGTAGTATAGTTCAATATATTTATCTTTCAATCTTCTTCGATTAATTAACTATACTAATATAATTATAAGGTGTCATTTATTTCTTAATTAATTTCTCTATAACATATATGCAGGAAAACTTCACCCCATCTTTCCTTCACTACTCTCATTAAGATATTTATGGTCTCCTTGTTTGGGTAATAATAACTTTTATTAATTCTTTCTTTATATTTTTTTAAGATATGAAACTATATGATCTATCTTTGAGTATTAATTATTAAGAAGATATATATTTCGTATATATGTTATGTATATGTGCAGGATTACGGCGACATTGAACCTATATGGGGTAGCTCTCAAGTATACTTCAGCAGCTTTAGCATCGGCCACTACTAATGCCATCCCCGTTGTCACTTTCATACTTGCCCTTTTATTCAGGTATTTTTTTTTTGCCCCTTTGATTATTCATACTCTATTCACACCTTTCCGTGGTGGTGATATGAAAAATGGATCGGAGTTGGAACCTTCTCAGATCATCCTTCTTCCTTTTTTTTCATTTTTTAATTTAATTCATGTGAAATTTGAACTAAATTGCACTAAAAGATATTCCGTATGTCATTTCTCAATGTAGCACTTAAATTTTTTAATTCCCTGAATAGTACTTGAATAATATATAGTAGCGAGAACAATGTCCAGTGATGGTAGACATTTACTTTGAACAATGTCCTGGCAGTGGACATTAACTTGAACAGTGACCAGTGGACATTGAACTGTGATACTACATTGAGAAATATAAACATATAGTGCCACATTAGGAAAGTCAATGTGTTTAATACTATTTAGGTAAATTCCCCTTAATTCATATAAATACCAATATAATGCATAATAAAAAATACTTCCTCCATCTCAAACAACTTTTCAAAAACAAAAAATGTGAGTCCTAAAAATTGGCAATTTTGATAATATTCTCTAATTATAAATCATATATCGTTGACATCATATCTTACTTAATTATAAAGCTAAGTAAGGGCAAAATTAAAAAATATTACCAAAATATACAAGTTTTACCCTTCAAAAAAATTATACGATGTGCAAAACATTAATTCTTCTTCTATCTCATAAAAAGGTTTCAATTATAATTTGGTGCAGAGATTAAGAAAATTAAAATGATGTGGTTGAAAGTGATACTATACCGAAGTGAAAGAAATTATAAAGGCTACAAAATTCTTTTCAATAATGGAAAGGAGCACTTTTTTTGAGATGGACAAAGAAAATACTCTGTATAAATTAAAATCCTTTTATGGAAGGAAGGGTATACAATAAACTTATGTGGTTCCATCGCATAATTCTCTTCTTAATTATTTTCCTATTTAGGTGATTTCAAAATTTTCTCTCTCTTTTTCTTTTAAAAAAAGTCATGTAGTTCATATTATTTTTTTTTCTACACAAATCACAACCAAACACATTTTACTTTCTTAAGAATAATGTCAATTCAAACAAGCTATAAAAGAAAATTATACTGGTAGAATAGAGGGAATAATTACTTCTATGCTAATTTTGGCATGAGGTTGATTCAGTGGCCTACTTTAGACTTTAGTGCATTATTCCGGTCAATATTCTACTAGAGGCAATTTTAGTGGGAGGTAAAAGATTGAGTAATGCTAGATGGGAGAGAGGAAATAGAAGAGAAAGGTTGGAGTGCTTTGAGAAAAAAATGGAAAGAATAAGAATCCGGAAAACATAATGCATCGAGGAGGAAAAAATAGGAGTGGAGCATATCATTTTTGTAGACTAATTATTACATAAAAAAATTTTATTTTTATTTAAAAAACAAATACTTATTTAAGCAGTAAAAAATACTTATTTTGTTTTTATATAGATCCATGATAAATGTAAGGTCTACTATGGAATTTGCCAAGAACCAAAAGGTGTTTTTGCACTTAATTTTTGAGTTGTGCTACGGGCTACTACGGCTAAGCTAATTTTTGTATCCCAACCTACGCTAATTTTTTTTAGAGTAAATTCCATAACTGGTCCTTTATAACAGGGGGGTTTCCATATTTAGTCCTCTATTATTCAATATTACCCCCGTAGTCCTTTTTTTAGGGTACCTTTCCACAAATGGTCCTTTTTTTGATCTTCTTCCGTGCTGGTGTTAATTTAAAGACTAAAAGTATAATTTGACGTCAACATTATGTCTAGTGACGTGTTCTGATATTGGTTAAGCGGATAACACAAAAATAATGACTATGATTGTGGGCTAGGATTCTGACGAAAGATCACATTTGTGGACTATAGTTGTCGTAAAAAGCAACTGTAATTCACAAACGACGCAAACGGAACAGCCTTTGGAATTGTGTATGACAAAAAAGATATATTATCATTGTGAAATTACACTTTTAGCCCTCAAATTAACACCAACATGATAGAAGATCAAAAAAGGACTATTTGTGGAAAGGTACTCATAAAAGAAAGACCACTTGGGTAATATTTGATAATAGAGGACTAAATAGGGAAACCCCCTGTTATAAAGGACCAATTATAGAATTTACTCTTTTTTTTACTACCTCAGATAAACGAGATTACCTTTTTTTTTGGATTTTAATAAAAATTAGTTTGAGAACTTTTTATGATGTAAATTATAACATGTTGTTGAAAATCTGTTCAAGAATTACGGAGTATTTATAATTTAATAGTATACAGTATATTTTTTATAAAAATTAATATATATAACTCTGAGTTACTTTTTTTTAAAAAAATCATTTTATTTATTAAATTAAAAATTATGTAGATAAAAAATATTTATGACAAGTGAAGCCCACCATTTAAAATAAGTGCAGGAAAAAAAAAGAAATCACCATAAATAGAAATAAAAATAAAGAAAAAGTACCAAAAATAGAAGTTGCATGTTTTAATTCTCTAAATAAGATTTCGCATTATGGTAATGTGGCACTGTAAATATGCATTTTACTATTATTTTTAGTATTGTATATGGTCATGATTGATAATGTACATCTATTTTAACTCTTTTTTTTTAACCGAAAGAAAATAAATTTCATCACCATTAGTCACAACAAAATACAAAGCACAGGATCACCAATACAACTCCTAAAAAAAATCTGACATGGAGCTGCGAAAATAACAAAATTATACACTTAATTAAGCTTTCTTCCCTTCAAATAAACACCGTACCCACTTGATATACTATCTCCTGGAACACATCCTCCTCTATCTGTCTTATGTTTCCCTTGAAATTTTTTTTGATTACGATCGAGCCTTCCAAATCGCACAAATAGTGGCTGCAAAAATAGAGATAATTCTCCTTCTTTTCTTTGCTGGGTGTATCTTCAAACATCCGCTCACCAATTCTTCAAGACGGTGGCCTTCAACGTCATAGATACACCATGGCAAAAGCTTATAGTATATATATTGCCTTTGTATATTCACAGCTCAGCTACACAATAGATGCTGGACTGACCTTTCAAACATAATTGGCATAAAGTATCAATGGATAAGAACCTGGCCATCATGCATTTAATTTGAAGCTTTCCTCTGCAAATTAGCCATAAGATGAATTTTTGTTTTGGGATTGTAAGTTTATTCCACACCAGCCCATCCCATTCTGCCTTCTGTTTCTCTCCCAGTAACCATGTGTACCCTACATTTGGGGTATAGGCAGAAGTACGTGTTCTCCATCCCAGCAAAACAGTCTCTCACTTGGAGAAGTTTTTCCAATAAAAACAACTGTCATTTCTACCATGAAGATCCCAAATGCTGCCCTTTTTCAAGTATTTGATGTGTACCCATTTGATCCAAAGGGCATCCTTCTTCAAAGAAATATCCCAAACCAACTTCATTATATTTGCCTTATTCCACAGTACCAGGTTTTTGAATCCAAGCCCACCATATTTTCTAGGCATAGAGATATCCTCCCAAGCAACCAAAGGAATTCTTTTCCTTTCTTGAGTTGAGCCCCATTGGAAATTTCAGCAGAGTGCTTGAATCTTCTTCATCACCTTAGCTGGAATCATAAACAATCTACTCCAGAAGCTGATAATACCATATAAAATAGAGTTTATCAGTTTACATTTGCCATAAGAAAGGTTCTTTGATGTCCAGTCAGTGATCTTAGTTGTCATTTTCTCAATAAGCCTTTTACAATCTTTTGCACTAATATCTATTTTAAACCCTAAAAACTTTCACAATCTTTTGCACTAATACCATGTAAACGGTCCGATCCATTTTAGAAGGGACACTCATCAATCTATTTTAACCCTTGTTTCAAGAATAAAAACACAAGAAACTCTTATTTTGATATATTTTTAATATTTTACTCTTATTTTAGTTTTTTTAAGGCGAAAACACAGAATTTGTGAAGAAATATTTAAAAAAGAAAAGTGATATGACATGAGAAATAACTACGGAGTAAATAACAGAGAGCAGCAAAAGTAAGAAAAATATGGCTAAAGTATCTCTATCTCAGCCTAAAAGTAATTATAGAGTTTCTTTTATCATTTAGGCACGTGATCGATTTGTTGAAAATGTGTTAATATGAATGATCACAGTCACCTGCGTCTTATAATTTCTGCCAAGGATGCTCTAGTCAAGAGAAGTTATGTCTAAAACTTAATTTTGTATTTTTCCGTTTTTCATTATCATGTACAAAAATATATAAAAATTAATTATTGTATCCATGTTTTCAAGTAATCAAATTGATACTCCGTATTTACTACTCCATCATGTTATTCTATAAATATTTTTTAAAAAAAGTTACCCCAAATAATTTAATATATAAAATATTGAGTCAAATTCATTTATGCTCTTGTTTTTAGACATACAAATATAATATTAATTTAAAATACAAAGATCTTCGCAGCAAAATTTTGTGCTCTTGTTTATTCCCAGATATAGATCTTAAATTCGCGCAATATTTGAGCACTTACGAGATAGAATAAGGAAAATACTAAATAGAGCCATATGAAAACCGCGTATTCCAAATTCCACACGATCAAAGTGGTTTTAAATTATAGAAATCATCCTAAATAGAACTAAAATATAGAGAAAAGTACCAAAATAGGACTTTCATGTTTTTTTTCCCGGAATAGGACTTTGCATTGTGGTAATGTGACTTTGCATTGTGGTAATGTGGCAGTGTACATGTGCAAATTACTATACTTTCTTGGTAATGTATATGACCATGTTTGGTAATGTAAGTCCTATTTCGGGAATAAAAACATGAAAGTCCTATTTTGGTATATTTTCAATGTTTTAGTCCTACTTTGGTCTTTCTCCCTTTAAATTATTACTCCACACAATCAAACAAGTACGCCGTATTAAAAAATATTTTCTAAAGAAATACATCTATATTTAAAAATAATATCTTATTAAGTACGGAGTATAAAATTAAAGTGAATTTTGCACTAAATAGGACTAAAACATACTCCCTTCGTCCTATAATGATCTTCCCAAAGCATTATTCTAACTTCACGGGAATTTATATTTATTTGTGTTTTTTCATGGCCTATATGGTAAAATAAAATATTCTTGTCACCACTTGTTTTGTTGAACTTTTGGTGTAGTTTTTAAATATGTATGTTTTATTTTTTATTTCTATACCAATATTTAAATAAAATAGATTGAAAAAACTTGGGATTTTTCTTCGTTTTGCGAACCGGGAAGATCATAATAGGACGGAGGGAGTAAGTCATTTTCCAATGTAGGACTTAAACTTTTTTATTCCCTAAATAGGACTTAATAATGACTAGTGAGAAAAATAATGTCCAAGTGATGCTGGACATTAAGTTGAATAATGACTAATAGATAATGACCAATGGTCCTACACTGGAAAATAAAAACATATGGTCCTATATTGATAAAGTCATTATGTTTTAGTCCTATTTAGGTAAATTACTCAAAATTAAATCTACTTATAACAAAAGACAAAGGCCCCGTTTGGTACACGGAATTCAAACTATGGAATTGGAATTGAGGACTTCAATTCCAATTCTCGTGTTTGGTAACACAAAAATTATGTGGATTTGGAATTGGTAGTACAAAAAATGAATTGGAATTGGTGAATTCAATTCTATGGAATTGAATCCTATAGAATTTTAATTCCAATTCCATCAATTCCATGTATCAAACGGACCCAAAATGTCAAATAGGAGTACATATAAATCATAATTTATTTTTTATTAATTATTACAGACTTCTTCTTTAGAATACATAGAGCGAGTTCGAATTCGAGTACAAATATGGATTCAAATGCACAAACGAGCTAAAATTTTAAAAAATACAAATAGAAGTGAGTTTTAATTTTTTAAATAAATAACATTAATATTTGTATACGTATTACAAAATTACTAGATAACAACAAACTGTGTACCCAACTTGCACAGCAGTTTGAGATACAAAACTTTGAGACATACCTAGCTTTTGGATTTATATTTGGATCTTACATCAATATCTTTACATTTTGTTTTCAATATAAAAAATAGCAAAATAATGAATGTCCTATTATCCCCCCTTATACTATAAGGCCCTATACCGTTTCCCTCCGTCAAATAGGCCCTTTTTCTGTCACCCTTTTTCCTTCACTTTCCGGCAATCCCACTATTCGTCTTCGAAATGTTACAGCCACCGCCCAACGACCTCTACCATTTCTCCTTTGCTTCTTGTACTTTCTACACCGCCACCGGCCACCGCTCCACGACCTCTGCCACCGCCCCAAGACACCGTCTTCCTCACCTTATTAATAAATACTGGACTAATTCTGGGACTATTGTTCCTGCAAGAAATCTTTTCCACTCTATCCAGGTAATTCTTTCCACTTCTTCTCCTTTTGCGCGTCTCTTCTTCGTCTCCTTCCTCTTTTTCTTTCCTCTTTTTGTTCTTGACTCGTAATAACACGTACAGTCCAATTTAGATTTTGATTAAGTTATTGCTTTGTTTCGATTTCTTTTAACTCAATAGGTAAATGGATATGAAGCTTAGATTTCAGCTTCCAGTTTTTTCTTTATGGGAACACAACTTTTACTTTCAATTTTTAAAGCCTCAATTCTTCTATGTTTTATTTTAATTTCTATTTCAGTTCCCCTTATTTAATTTAGATTTTGAAATTTCTAAGATTTAGGGTTACATCTGATTGATAATGCTAAATTTTAATTGAATTGACAAGTTTTAAGAATTTAGGGTTTACCTCGGCCTGTATATTTATTTACTTCTGTTTTATTTGTGATTAATTGAGCTGACTTTTCTGGTCTGATTAAGCAAAATTGATGTTGAATTTTCTGGCTTGCTTCTGCTTGATAACCAGAAAAATTTCAAAAACTTAGGGTCTTTAAATTTCTATACCTTTACTGCTTTGGAAAATTTTTAATTCTAGTTGCTACATTATTTTAAAATCCCAACAAAAACATATTGACATTCTTTATTTATCCCTTGTTCTTTGCTCTGTTTTTTGGAATAATGATAGTTTAATCGTAGAAGGAATAGAGGGAGTTGTTTGCTACCTTGCTCTTTTCTACGCTATTTGATTTGGATCCAAAATATTGTCAAACCACTTTCCGAAAGAAATTATGCATTGCTATGCTGCTGTTACTCTAATCTTATATGCCTCTGCTAGCTTCAAATATTTAAAATAAATTAAATGGATTTATGCTTTTTCTCTTATTAAATGCAAACCATTCTTAAACATGCTTGGGCAAACAAACACGTAGTGTGTCTCCTGCTAGTTCAGTCTATATGACTACTTTCTCCAAGCCTAAATGACCTTTTGCATTTGAATTTTAGGGAATTAAAACTCGATAAGTACCATTGTACAAAGATAAATTTTTAATCATATACCGTTTCCTTAAAAGAAAGATGAGGATAACTACTTTAGTAACGATCAAAAAAGCAAAAATAAAAAGAACTTTTTAGTCAGAAAAATATTACGAGTACTCCGTGATGTGAATCTACAAAAAAAAATACATGATGCCAGTACATTTAAGTAATGTAACAAAAAATATTCCAGCTATCCGATTATAGGCCCAGCTTGGCTGGCTACTAAGGCCCGCCCAATAAGATGAGTACTGAGGCAAGGCCAGCCCATACGGTTTAAAGGATGTTCCAAGACATTTGTGAAAACACTTCCATAAACAGCTCTCCGCTACACGAAAACATCGGAAGTTCCATGAACTTTGTTTTAGTTTATCAAGTAACATATTGTACTCCATTAATTTGAAATTGAGCAAAAACCCACAAACTCCAGGTTGGAAAAGGCAAACCTAAGAACATTTAGTGGGATTGCCAAGGTAGCGGGCTTAGCACTATGCACAGGAGGAGCAGTAACCATGGCCCTCTATAGCGGACCAACTTTCAAGCTGCTTCTACACCACCACCTCATCCCCCACCACGACAAAAACCTCGAACACGACCCCTCTTCTGGCAAACATTGGATCAAGGGTGTCCTTCTCATGCTCCTCTCCAACAGTTGTTGGAGCTTTTGGATTGTCGCCCAGGTAAACACAAACATACAAAGCATCTTTAACATGTTCAATCTTCCTTCCTAGAATGCAATAATGAATAATCACACTTTGTTTCTGGTTAACAGGGCCACATTGTTAGCATCTATCCCTCCAAACTTATGAACACAGCACTCCAGTGCATTTTCAGCACCCTTCAATCGTTTATTGTGGCAATTGCTTTGGTGAGAGACCCCATGGAGTGGAAGCTTGGGTGGAACATCAAACTACTAACCATTCTCTACTGTGTCAGTACCAATGCATTTGTTATACAACTTCTACACCTCTCGTTCTTGTTACCCATTGAGATTTGAATTGAAGAGTATTGCGTTGTGACAGGGAGTTGTAGTGACGGGTTTCACATTCTACTTGCAAGCTTGGGTGGTTGTGAAGAAAGGGCCGCTCTTCCTCGCCATGACCACACCTTTGAATCTGCTCATCACCATTGTTGCCTCTGCAGTATTCTTGGGGGAGATCCTCACTCTTGGAAGGTAAAACCCAGTCAAGTTATTCATCTTTTCGTATTCAATAACAAATCATCAATTGAGGCTAACCAAGCTCGTGCAGCATCATAGGAGCAATCTTGCTTATAGGAGGGCTCTACAGTGTGTTATGGGGCAAGAGAGAAGAACAAAAAGAAGACAAGACCACAAAGGTTGCTATTGAAAACAATACAAGAGACATTGAACGCAACCCAGAAAGCAATGAATCCGGCCGTGGAAAAGACAATGCAAGAGTCATTGAACAAAACTAAAGACAGTTGCTTTTGGAATTTCCAAAAATGTAGTTTTTAAGCAGTGTTTATCCCTAGTTTTAAAAACTCTTGCTCAGATAAATAAAGATCCCACTTCATATATTTATTCAATGTGTGAGATATTTGCCACAACGCGGATAGTCTTCCTCGTTGAGAATTCATAAGGAAGACTAGAAAGACAAGGAGGCAAAATGATTGATGTAGCTTATGTTAATAATGTTAAGTGCCGCCGTGAATACATCTGAGCGGCACTTGACCGTCCATAAGCACGATGCAGTAAAATCACTGATATAAACATTCCGATGGTTAGAGCCTCGGAGTTAGAGATTCTCAGCACGACCGTTCAGTCCCGAAAGATGGTGTTTTAATCTGAGTTTCTTCACCGGCTAAAACACATCGACAAAATCAAATTTCTTGACTAAAGAGAGAATGTGCTTCTCATGGCCGTGTCGATGAAGCAACTGAAATGCACTCAACGAAGATGAGATATGACAAACTGGGATCCTAATCGACCGTTGATCTGCGACGATATGTCATCACCGAGATATACAAGCACCGAAATTGCTTGCCCCGGCGTGAATCGTCAACAATTAATAAGCAACAATGATAATCACACTTTGATGCATATACAGAAACAAAAAGGAAGAAAAACGTCGGGGAGCGAGAGAGTGAAATCGCCGGAGGACCCGAGGGCCACTTTACTAGAATCGCCACCTTCGCCGGAAACGCAGAACAACGTTGATGTTAACACAGCTGCAGGATGATGAGGAATGAAGCTACGACGAGCTATTTATATGGGAGGAAGATTGAGGGGGTTTCTAGGTTAGGGTTAGAAATAGCGGGCCTCTATTCTCTGAAGTCTTAAGATGCGGCCTGGACGGTATTGGGAAAAAATTATCCTTGGGCTTCTTTGCCATAGGGGCGGCCACCCACATCAGAAAATAAAATTAGGGAAAAAGATTAAACTAGAAGTAAAATATTAAAAATATATTAAAATAAGAGTTTCATTATTTATTCTTGAAATAGGAGTTAAAATATATTTACATTACCAATCATGACCATGTATATTACGTAAAATGCATATGTATGGTACCACATTACCACAGTGCGAACTCATATTTAGAGAATAAAAACATAGAACTTTTTTTTTAAATTTTTCAATATTTTATTCCTATTTATGGTGATTTCTTATACAATTAGAACCAAAAAATATACTCCCTAATATTTTAGATATCTCACAAATTAACCTAAGTATAAACTCATTTTAAACTTATCATAGATAAAAATATATTGCATTAATATACCGGAGTAATTTTTTGAAACACGCCCAATGGATAGAAATTACGAGTAGGGTTAAAGTAAATTCAAATTTAGTTACTAGTCGAAAAACAAGTTCAAACAATTAGAGAAAAAATTCAAAAAATCCGAGTTTCCTAATTTTTATCCGGAACGGATCGGAAAAACAAGTGCAGACCGGAATGTCCAGTTTTCGAATCCTATACTTTAGGTGATTCTGCTTTTTCAATTTTTAGTTCTAGCCAAGTTTGGTCTCACCTCTAGTGGTACATAACACCTGCACTTCGAAGTTATCATCCTTCTCTTTACAAAAACAGTAGTAAAAAATTCTCGCCTACAACGTGGCCACTTGCTGTGACATTTTTTAAGGAAAATTATTGCGACAAAATCAAAAGCTGCATTCCCCAACCTCCCACTAATCCTTCTCTTCACAAAAATAACATCAAATGTTCCTGCCTCAAAATTTGGCCAATTGCTGCGACAATTTTTATACTCCCTCTTTCCTAAAATTAATTTTCTAGTTTGACTTTTGCAGTCAAACTTTTTAAATTTTAACCGTAGATTAAGGAAAAAATACATTGAATTTTCATATAAATTTATTAGGAATAGATTCATTTTGGAATATAATTTTGAAATATATATTTTTATAAAATATATTTATATAAAAATTGAGATATTGATGGTCAAAGTGTCGCATTGGAGTTCGTGAAAAGTCAAATGAGAAGTTAATTTTAGGACGGAGGGAGTAGTAAAATTATTGTGACATACTCTTTCTGTTTTACAAAACACTTCTGCCTTGTTTTTGTGGATCCCTTAAAACATTTTACCACACTTAAAATATCCAAAATAAACTTATATTTTGTAGTTTATTGCGGTAGAAGTTATTTTGAAAGTATTTTAGACATTTTATGTGGACTAGAAGTATTTTATGGGGTGCGCGTCACTACAAGAAAAAGGACTTTCACCCGCATTTAATTTGCCAGGAGGCCCCGTTCCATTCAACTTATTTTTGCTGCTTTTTTCTTATTCTTATTAAAATCAGATCAGATCAAACCAAATCAGATCCAATCAGATCAGACCAGATCAGATTCAATCAAGAATTATTATTATTATTATTGTTGTTGTTGTTGTTGTTATTGTTATTAATATTTTAAATTCCATACTTTTTACTTGTTTCACTTGATATGATTTTTTCAAAAAATAAATTTGGGATTCAATGAGTGGGATTGAAAAGAATATGACTGTGTAACATTTTATGCAATGTAGTATTTATAGCATACAACGTTTTTTTTGTCAAGCACATCTAGCATGTAACATATTACTACGTATTATACAAGATGCAGAAAAATGTATTATTTCTTTGCTTAACATTGATATTTTAATAAAAATATTATCTCTTCTCTTTATTGATTATCTAAATTTCATTACTTTTTAATGTATATATTTAGTGGGATTCAACTGGGTTGTTGTTGTTGTTAATGTATATATGAATTATAAATTTATTCTAATGTATATATGAACTAATCATTAAAATATTAAATCAATATTCTTATTACAAAAAACATAATCATAAAATAAAAAATATTATTACATTATAATATGAATGATTATTCTAATATATGAAACAACTAATTTTATTTCATTAAAAAATAATCATAAAATAAAAAATATTGATTATATTATTATATGAATTATCATTACAATTTTCAAAATTTATTATAATGTTAGATCAAATTATTGATTTGAATTTTAAATCAAATCATAATTAATCAGATCAGATTCCATCAGATCAGATCCAATCAAATCAGATGAGATCATATCCAATTCGTAAACCAAACTAGAGTTCACATTTGGACAACTTAACATAAAGCTTGTGTTCACATAGTACACTCATTACTATTTCTAAATGTTTAGCTTGATCATCTAGAGTCTTTGAGATTACAAGAATATCATCGATAAATACGACTATGAATTAATCCAAGTAAGATCGGAATACACTATTCATGAGATCAATGAATACAGCAGGGTGCGCTCGTCAATCCAAATGGCATTACCATGAACTCATAGTGACCATAATGAGTACGAAATGTAGCCTTTGGAATGTCTTCCTTCCTTACAGGTATTTGGTGATATCCAGATCAAATGTCAATCTTATAGCATACAGTTTCTCCCTAAGTTGATCAAACAAATTTTCAATATGTGGCAAAGGATTAAGATTTTTTATCGTCACTTTCTTCAGTTTCAGGGAGCCGATGCAGAGTCTCATCGAGCCGTCTTTCTTTTGCACAAACAGGATAGCCCCAAGGGGAAACACTTGGTCACATATTTCCTTTGTCGAACAATTCTAGCAACTGAGCTTTGAACTCTTTTATTTCATCAGGGGCCATTCCATATGGAGTTGTAGATATTGGTCCTTTTCTAGGAACAAGATCAATAGTGAATTCTACTTCTCTAGAAGATGGTATATCAAGAAGTTCATCAGGGAACACATTGGGGAAGTCACATACTCTCAATCTATCCTTCAGTTCAGGGGTTTCTTTTTATGTATCACGTACATTGCATAAGTAGGCTTCACTTTTTTTAAGGATAAGACATCTTGCATGCATATACGAAATGAACTCAGATCAGATGGTTTAGGAATCAGCTTTTCTTTCACCTATATGAGGTTACCATCTTCAGTCTTCAGTTGAAGAATTCTTCGTCCACAGTCGATAACACCACTATATCAACGAGGTTTGTAGGAAACTCTCACTCTTGGACAACAAGCGGACAATTTAGATATGTGTGATGTAATCACATATTGTTCCCTAGTGGGTTAGACACTAGTATAGGATACTCTAATTTTTCTTTTATAATTCATCAGGCATAGGCACACACACAACATTGATCCAGTATCTATCAATACATACATGCTGGTATCGAAAAAAGGAAAACATACCCTTGATGATGTCATGGTTCTCCTTAGTGCATCCTTTCATTGTGTAAGTGCATGCCGGGGTTCGTCTTTGGTTCTGATTGTTTGGATTGCTTCTTGTTGTCAAGTGTTGGCTCGGTTCTGGTCAGGCTGAAGCAAATTGACTTTGGATAGGGGCAACTGGAAATGGTTCATCAAGGTTAGTGGGACATTCCTTTCAGAAATGTCTAAGCTTACCACACCCTAGACAAAATTCATAAGTAAGCCAGCATTCCCCTGGATGGTGTCTACCACACATGTTACACAGAGGATGTTTCCATCCTTTAAACCTGCTACCATAAGCTGCTGATTGAGTTTGCATAGATTTCCCCTTCTTTGAGAGTTGTGAAATAGTTGTCCCCTAAAAGGGTCTCTTTCCACTTGGGGCAGAACTTGTTCTTCAATGATCTACGTCATCTATTTTCAGACTAGCCTTATAGTCACTCACGTCCTTTTTCAGTCTTTGCAATCACGTTGTACGCTTCAATGAAGTCTGTTGTGGGTACCATGGACACGTATGGCCTAAGATTGGCCCGAAGTTTTTTGTGGAACTTCTTAATGTGGTCAGTGACAGTCATAACCAGTGTTTGTGCGAACTATGCGAGATGGTTAAACTTTTGTCGCAACTCGGAGAGTGACATGTATCCTTATTGTAGTTCCACAAACTCGGTGCGTTTTCCCCTTGGAACCAGGCTGGAATGTATTCCTTCTTAAAGGCCTAACCGAAGTATTTTCAGGTCCATGATTTGGGTGTGATCTGGTCTTCATCAGTGCGTTTCCACCATTCGTAGGCTCCTTTGCGAGTAGTTGGGATGCAAGCTTTGGATGATCGCCTTGAGGTTTGTTCAGATCTCCTAATACACAAGCAATATGCGCAATCCGATCAAGAGAAATCCGGGGTTCAACAAATCGTTCCCTAGAAACTCTTCAGCGCCATTGTCGTTGAAGGTTTTGAAAGTGATGAAGCGAGGCAGTGGTGGCAGTGGTGGCAGTGATGGTTGAAGGCAGGTAACACAAAGTCGGATTGACCCCCAACATTCATATTGTTTCCCATGTTTTGGAGAACATTCTATGGATTGGTTGGTTCTTTTTGAATCAGAGGAGTGAAGCTAGATGCTTGAGTGTGAACACTCACGTGTTCATTATTCGGCACTTGGTTAGCCTTACCGTGTGCAGATTCTTGACTCATTCTACAAATAACACAAATTCCTTTATTAGAATTCTTTTATTTGAGTAGTTGAGTTAATTAACTGAAATCACAAGAGAATATAACAATTGCATGATTGTACACAATCAAAAGGATTTTGAGAAGAAATGACACGATTTATTAATAAACATTCCCGTTTTAATTAGTGTTTGAATTGTGCGGAGTCCACAAGAGGGTCTTCACCACCAGATCCAAAGATCTGTTTGCAGAATCCACACTAAATGTCTCTTCAAGGTCGTCTCGTTTCCATGCAGCTTTACATTGCAGATAGATCTTTATTTTAGTCATCCTCGCGATGCATTGTGCACATTGATAATGGATCAGGGAGATATATACTTTTCACTTATTTTTCCATCTCTTACCGAGTGTGAAAGTCTGACTTCAATCGACACTCGATATGATTTCAGTACTAACAGTTGTCATATAATGAGAATTTAATACAGTCAATTATTTATCAAATAAATTCTCATTACTTTTCCTGCAGCACAGGAATGCGAGAGTCGTGGTTGTGATTTTTTTTGTTTACATCTGAAATTGTAACACCTGAATCTAACCAAGTCTGCAGCCCCTTTCAGACTAAAGTATAAACTTGATAATCGTAAAATTTATAACATTTCAAATACTTTTATTCATCACAATATAATATCTGTTGGACATGAGTTCAAACCCCTTTTTATTTTTTACTCTGGAATATTTTTCTTGTTTTGATAAATGACAAACAGGTCAATTAATATCAAAGATGAACGAAATTTTTTTTTCATTACAAGAAAAGCAAAGAGACATTTCAAGAAATCTACGGCGACACAAATTCACCCCTACGCAAGCTTTTGAAGTCAATTGAAGATTCCGAAAACTTTTTAATTTTATTGAGTCTAGGAATTATTGTAAGGATGACAAATACTTTTGTATAAACAAATTAATTCTTGAGGGATAAAAACTTATTATTTTCTGAGTCAGTTGGAAAATAATTTTTCCTTGTCTAAAAATAATTTAATGAGTCAGTTACAAAATAGTGTCAAAATTCTCCTTAAAAAATTTTTAAAGGGTACACATTTTTTGGTGAGAAAAATATATTTTAATATTTTTTCTTGTACACCATTTGACACACAAAATATTTTTTGGACTCACTTTTTCACTCCCTTATTCAAATTCATCGAATTAGAGTTTTTTTAGGAGCGTATTCTCTGATTCCCGTTGTCTCAAACAACGAGTGTTACACCAATTTTGCCTCTCAATCGCAACTGGCTTGGGCCCTTTGTGTTTGCGCATTATTTCTCATCTAATCGATTACTCTCCTTTGTTTAATCGATTAATTATGCACTATCTAAAAACGCCTTAGCCAACTTCTTTGTCTAATCGATTAAAGGCCCTATGTTTAATCGATTAGTTGCCTTTGCCCAGTGAAGGATTTCTCAGGCTTTGACCTAATCAATTTTTCCTCTTCCTATTAATCGATTAGATCCACCTTTCACAGAAGAAATTTTACTCAGAGCCTCCTAATCGATCAAATCCTTTTGCTTTAACCGATTAATATTACCTGGTGCCGTTTCTCAGTTTCGTTCATTGGCTCCAACGGTTCTATTTCATTCAGGCTATTTAATCCTTCATCCTCCTTCACATTATACACATCTTCTTGCACTCCAATCTTATATTGCTCCTTATTCATATATTGCTTCCTTCTGTTGAAACACGGGCATGTCACGTTTTCGTACTAAAGCCGTGTTTGTTTTTATGACAGGTTTTGATAATGCCAAACCGCCGTGATCAAGTCAAACTTTGAATATACAAGGCGAAGAAGGAAGACAAGAACAAGAGCTAAAAGAAGACCAAGAACGAAGACCTTAGTCTTAGTGTCGTGAGTCGGTCTTCATTGTGATCAAGACAGACCCAATCTTTACACCTTGGCTCTTTAGGCTAAAAACCTTCATTGCACTTCTTAAATCATAAAAATGTTTTTCAAACATGTTTAAGTCATTAAAAACACTTGGTGTTCGCCCAAACCAAAAACCAAGCCATCCGGCGTTCGGGTTTCAGAAACCGGCGTTCGGCTCTCGGTTATCGGCTATGGTTTTTGGCGTCCGAACCAACCAAGTGGTTTTCAACTTTTTATGATTGGTTTTCACTCTTTGGCATGTTTAAACGGTTCTCCAACAAAAACACTTTGAAAACCATCTTTCGCTTTTGGTCGTTTGACAAAAATCATTCAAAACGGCATAAA